TTGTTTCCAGCATCTTTCACATCAGAGAGGAGACAGGAATTGCTGAAAAAGTGATGGAATCTTCTTTAAATAATGTTGGTGTTACGATAAAGTATGTGAACATTTTAAGTAAACAAATTTTAAGTAAATGACAAAATGACTTATATTCAGGTTACTTTATTTGTTTACGTTTTAACCGTTTTTGACAAAATTCTTTCCAGGTCTGTAATTTACTTTGAGCTGTATTTGTTATTTCTTTTGCCTCGGTTTTTAGCAAAAGAAAAGTTCCATCAAAGTGGAGTCGTTTTTTAAAACAAATTTATAAATACAGTTGAATGATATATTATTAAGACAGTATTTCGTTTGTCCTGTGTAAAGAATGTGAGATATGACAGTAAATGACAAATTTTTCGTTTCAGTGATGACGACCATATCACACAATGTCAGAATTCAGCGTCTATAAAGAAACTCCTCGGAGTAAAGTGAGTTATGTTGTTAATAAAATTCTTCTAAGAGTCTATCCTTTTTCTCATTTTAAAATCGTTTTGACACTCTCAAATTTAGGATCTGTTCAAAGAACGCTGTGTTTCTTAGAAACGTACAATATCGTCACCCTTCATCCCCTTAGCTCATTAAGTCATGCGACATTCCATGTCAGTTCCAGTAATTGTTCATATCTGACCTTGAAAGAAAACACTCCAAACACTCCAAACACTCCATGTCTTCTGATCTGGATTCAAGTTTACTGCTTTTATCGTCTTTCTTATTTCACGTTTCCATTTTGAACATGTTCAATTGCAAAAAAAGTATCCAGCCGAGTTAAAATAGTTTTATTTTTGCAGTTACTTTCCAGAATATACCGTATATAGCGTATAGTATATCATAGTTTTCAAACTTCTTTTCTGTCAGATATTTTCAATAATTCGCTATCGAAACCATCCTCAGCTGTTCGGGCTGGAATACACAAGCGGTCGGCTGAGAAATTACTCGTCTCCTGACAGGTAGTGTAAGAAAGCAAATTTTGTATGAAGCAATAAAAAATATTTCTTGTTTTGAATGTTTGTCTTTCACTCAATCTAGGGAAACATTATTGGCTGGTTTGCTAGACGGTGTTAGAGCCAGTTGAAACAGAGATGTTTGCGTAAAAACGACCCCAACGAAGAGAAGTACTGTACGCTTATTCATAGATGATTGAGCGAAAATTATGGTCAAAATTTTCCTGATGAAATCTCGTACTGCTATGATTACCCTAAATACGATCCCTCATTTCATACTCCTGCTGACGTATGTGATCTCATATAACACACCAACAATTACACTTCTCGTCAGGTATCAGCAAATAGCATTATTCCTATTAGCCAGTTCAATACATCACATACAGCAAAAGAAGAATTGTTTTTTTAAGATGATATATTTTTCAAGGTTATCGTTGGGGTCCATTGTATAATGTTGTTGACGAAGAAGTAGAAAGCAGTCATTTAAATTCCTCGCTGCGTCTCCAGGTGAAATATTTCTCTTTTTATTTCACTTTACATTTTTGAAATATCTCCAAAAGCTTATATTGTCTTATGACTGGTTCCTTGCAGGAAATTTAACCGAAGCTGTGTACAGATTTTACTGCAATATTTCCTACTGTGGTCTACTTCATGCAGTCACCCAAAACGTAAGTTGACAACTTCTTATCTTGTACTTTTCTGCAGACAAAATCCTGTGTAGAGAATATTATTGCCTTTTATTGAGTTTTAATGTTCTGTCAAAATTTGGATTAAGGCTGTTTTCCACTCACGTGTTTTTCATACGCACGTACACGCACGTAAAAATCTAAATCCTTATACATGTTACCTTTGAAAAAACTAAGTGAATAAATCGACCTAGATGCATGTTAATTAATAAAAATTTAAAAGCATTTAAAATTCTCCGTATGTGTACATGCGTATAAAAAACGCGTAAGTAGAAAGCAGCCTTTAGTGTGAACTAAACGATTGCTAGGCTGCATAGTTACGTTAAATGAAAACATTTGCCCATTTCGGCTGCTAATTGAAAACATTTAGCAAGGTTTAAAACGTCTGCAAACAACACGGTACATTTAAACTGGTTTATCCAGTATAGCCAAAGGCAAAAAGTATGACTTTAATAAAAATACCCTATCCTGCTACTGTTCTGTGCACAAATGTACACAAAACACTAATAGTACTCCCTAAAAACCGCCGTAACTCCAGCCTAGTCCCAGGCCTCTCATTGCGCGTGTTTTATATTTTCGTCACGTCACCGAATGAAACGCGCGCGAGAGGCCTAACACAAAATATTTTCTAATCTTAACGGCCCGTTTAATGTTGTGAACTTGAAATTAGAATTGTTATTAAAGTAAATGTTTGCAATTTACAACAGTAACCGTTATAAAGGAAGCGAGAATAATTTAAATTGGTGGATTGAAGTTTATTATAATCATAAACATGTACGTACGGACTCGAGTTTACTTGATAGTCGATAGCGTTGACGGCGACACATTGAAACGTTTGTATGAATATTTCGACTCCTGGCAGTATAATCAATATCCCGTAGCTTATTTCAAGCAAATGTTTGACTAACGACGTCGAACAAGGCCAGTTAACCGCGTCGTAGATCGTAAACTGACCTCAATACAGAAAGTGGGGACAAAAAGTCCCCACTTTAGCCAAAATACAAAACATTTTGTTCTAGGCCTCTCAGTTCCCGCCTCGCCGCGTATAAGGAACGTTATGAAGCCTAGGTACTAGGCTGCGTAACTCTGGTTGCTGAGTTGACTGGGTCCGAATCCATGAAATGGTAGTTTTGAAATTTTCCCGGCAGAAGTACGGCCGGAATATTAAGTCTTTTAAACTCCAATATATATTTCAAACGATTTTAAATATTTTGTAGGGACTTTTGTCGGAGAATAAAGAAAGACTTATCATTAATGCCATCACAATGCTCATTGCTCACGAAGGTATTGTATATCTTTGCCAATAAATTTATTTAGTGTTCAACCCTAAAATATACATATTCTGAGTGCTATTACCTTCGCAGGTGTCCTATATATACATAAAATAGGTAAAAAGTTTCGTCTATTTGCAGGAGACCAAAACAAAATATGAGATAAAGATCTCGAAGCACTGTTTCACGATTTGAGAAGTTGGGTTCGATCCAAAGCAGGTTTCGCGCTTTCACAACGCTCACTAGGTGAGAAACGTTTATCTTTAACCACAACACACGCTGTTTACTCAACCAGTTCACTTGCGTGAGAAGGTTGGTGTGAAAACTGTGAAAGCTTTGAAGAGGAATAATGAAGCCGTGACTCACGCCGCTGTCGACATGTTGTGTTCTCTGATGCAGGTAAAGACAGGGCTTTCCTTTAAGCGGCCAAAATGGTCAGACCGGACATATTTAAATTTAAAATAGAGTATTTCGTTAAGAATACAGCGGCGAAATTTCCGAGCTAAATAGATGCAAGAAACGAAATACGTAAACTCAGCCAACTTTGAAATTTGCATGTTAACAGGATCCAGTTTTATCGAAACCAATTCTGTTGTTTTATATAGCCAACGCACGATAACTATGACATTCGAGAAGAACAGATAAACAAAAGCTCTCTGTTATCCTGTGAAAAATTTCTAAGCAGTTTGTTGGGAATTCTCACGATAAATGTGGTAAGATGTGCGGTGTTGGCCTATAATCTATGCTGAACCCATGCATTTTATTTTTCCATCCCTCTTGTATGTATACAGCCTTGTTTTGGAAGAGAAATTCCCTTGCAAAACTCAGCAAGTGATTTGTAGCAACTGCCTTTCTAATTTGGACTACCTTTCTAATTAACACAAGAAATAGATTAACCATGAAAACTTTTCTAGAATCGTTCTACTGGGGTTTTAGGTATAAGTTGATTGCTTGATTTTCTGGCGTTTGCTCTGTGTCCTCTTTACAGGTAAAGTTCTGGTTGCTTTGCAATATATCAAAATAATGGGGGGTGCAGTTGGACATTCATGTTAAACTAATAGTAAGGTGTGATTGCTTCTAATATTTTGAATCCAACTGATGTGGTCTGTTATAAT